GCACATTGTGTAGCTTTTGTCCTTAATTTCAAACAAACTCTCTCTCTACGTATATATATATATATATGCAAGATAAAAAAGACTGCATTTGATGACTAAGATTTGTTTGTTTTTTTAAACTTATAAAATATAAAAACTAACAGAAAAAATGTCAACGAATGTAAGATCAGATATGATTCTAAATAAGTCAATCCAATATCCATGTGAAGAAATCCAATCGTTTTTATGGTCGCTTTAAGACCAGCTAAGCAGCGAGTGTTATTGCAAGTTTTAGCACAACATATAAAATTCCACATATCTTATTACAATTACAGAAATCCTTGGAGATTTTGGAAGACACAGTTAACCATGATCAATTACGATCTATCTTTTGAAATGCTAGATACAGCGGGTTTTTTTGGAACTGTCATTTATCTACTTTTCTCGACTTTAGGTATCTCTCACCCCTAAATAAATAAATAAAATATATATTTAGAATAGCAACCAGCCACCTACTGTTAAACTTACCCAATACATCATTTATGTATTATATGTATTAAAAAGGGTTTATATATATGTAAATACACATAAGAATAGCACAGGACGAATCTTCACTGGATTATATGGGACTGTTAGTAATATGTAAGATTCTAGCATAACAAATGAAGCAAACTATACACCAGTGCAAACGATGACCGTTGAACGTAAATGGACATGGCCCCGATAGGGGTATTGTAATAACAACAGTGACATTAAATGGTAACAACACCCTCATTTATGTGTGACGGTCAACATTTAACAGTGCAACAAAACATCAGTGCAGGAGAGAGGAAGGGGTGGAACTTCAAATCTGACCCTACCCAGATCCCTATAAATTCATCGTCGTTTTCTAGGTAACTTCAATATCTTGTTAGATGTGCCATCAAAATATTTATGAACTATTACAATATACCAATTCCGTGTTTCATTCATGCTACAAAATACACTTACGTTTCTAGGTTCATATTGTTGACGACAACGAGCGGATTATTTTTAGCTCGAGCCATCTTGAAGATCCAACAGCCTCTCCCAAGGATATTATTCCAGCTTTTAACGGATACGCACCTCGTGGTGACGTTACGGTAAATATCTGTATATCTTGGTTCTAGAAGTTAAATGATATATGTATATATAATTCTTAGTGTAATGTTCCCGTTGCATTTATTATATTAATTATAATAATTACGCGTAACTTATGACGTTTTTTGTTGATACGTTTAGTAAATTTCGTCTATATGAAATACCTATCTCCAAAGACATTCTTCATATAAGATTCATCTATTAAATCTGAAGAGAAAATAAATAAAATGTAATAGCACTTTCCATAATGTCACCCACATCATATTACACACACTATTTAAATATGCTGTACCAACTAATAAAAACTAAAATCCAGATTTCGATACCCGTGGTGGGGCAGCCTAGCATGGCCTGGTGGTTAAAGCGTTTTACTCTCAATCTGCGGGTTGCAAGTTCGAATCCCCATCACACCAAACATGTTAACCTTTTCAGCCGTGGGGGCATTATTTTGATAATATTTTAAACTAGCATAAAATATCCATGCTACATTGTGGGATTCTAAGCTCCCCTCATGATTCACAGAGGCCTCATTGTACCAGTCAAGCGTCTCCATAATTACTTCTATAACTACCCTAATGCGCCAGTTTTTTAACTGATTTGTATGTTTCCATCTCCCAGCTTAATTCAATTCAACTCTTTTTAGAAGCAAATAGTTTAAATATAGCTTCTCAGATTCTTTTTTTTTTCTCCTGTGCCTTTGTTTGAGTTCTTTTAATTCTTCTGTATTCCCTGATTCATATTTTTCTTTCCGTTTCCCAAGCTTAGTTCAATTCAACTTTTTTTTTAATTCTTAGATTTATATTTTTCTTCCAGTATTTATGTTGAAAAAGAGTATTTGGCGGAAAACCTCTACATATTGTTCATTCAGTAAGTGAGAATTAGAAAAAATATGATACTTTTCTATAGAGCTTCAGAAAGCAGAATTATGGGTCCTAAAGGCTATTGGGCAAAATAATAGGGCAAAAAAATTGGCCAAACAATTTTTGAGTCAAATGTAAAAATAATGCCCAGGTGCACCCCCTCAGAATCATCTTAGTATGCGTGCAAAGTTTCAGGTCTCTAGGTTCTTTCCTCTTGGAGCAATGGCAGTCACACACACACACACAGAGGCTCATATTATTATAGAGTCAAAGTTTGTGGTATTAAAACATTACAGTTTAATCAGTACGTTATATGAAAAAACAAAGACAGTACCAACTTACTTAGTTGATAAACAGCCTAGTATATGAAATCCTCATCACATATAATGATGTAAGTTTTTATCCATATATGAACGCGTAATAATACCAAGTTTTAATTTTATTTTTATAAGTAGTTAATGAAAAATAAACGCACATTTCCAGCAGGATATAATGTGTTGCACCTATACAACCGACTTTTCTATCCTTTTACCCCTATTTCTCCGGTTGAATATGAGATCTGTAAGTGTACTTTGACATAAACCAACTCAAAACATTTTTGTGTCATTTTGGAAAGGCACTTTTTTTAAATATATAACATTCTCACTGTACTTGGGATAATCTCACAGAGAGATTTTGATTAAGTTATGTTTCTCTAAATTTTAAGCATTTACATTTTATCAAATATGTCAATAAAAATGACGGATAACAACACATAACATTTCACATTTTCTTTCCACCAAATTTCTTCCAAAATTGGACGTTTTTCAGTGGATGTATGTATCAATTAAAAAAAGGATTTTTTCCCCTATTTTCTCAAATTTTACATTTTGTCGCCAAAGATATAGCCATGCTGCTTAGACAATTTAGACTTGATAGTGAATAATCTAATGGTTTTCAGTGTCGTTTCCTGTATTTATAAATATATATTTACGTGCTGTGAGTCTATACATTTTGTTTTTAACTCATTATTGAAAGACTATTAACAAAACATAATCAATTTATTTTATCTAAATTTTGCACGAAATCTACAATATTTCAAAGACTACTTTCTCTCATTTGTTGCTAACTTTGATCAAGTTACAGACAGATCATTGGTCACTATTGCCTGCCAATTTTATGATGACTTTAGGGTCAGACAGAGAACGAATTGTGCTTTATATGTTGCCAAACTATGTAAACTTGTATATTTCGAGTTATAAATGCATATTAATGTTAGAGTTAAAACAAAAAAAGAGTTGGTTTGTTGACACAGATTATCATGAGACATTTCATACTTTAGAATCAAATTCGTTACCATTGAGATTTCGTTTCTCTGTTTAAAGTACATTTCTAATCACCACTTACCTTATTAGTAGGGAAATTTGCTAGCTGTTTACTCAGACTTATTACTCGTAGGGCTAGTTATCATTTTCAACAGAATTAATCATTTTTAAGTGACTAAGTTGATGATAGTGTGTGAAAATCATTTTTAAGTGACTAAGTACCATGGGTATGAGTTTATCTATAGATAGTAAGTTGATGATAGTGTGTGAAAATCATTTTTAAGTGACTAAGAACCATGGGTATGAGTTTATCTATAGATAGTAAGTTGATGATAGTGTGTGAAAATCATTTTTAAGTG